GTGTGTGTGTGTGTGTGTGTGTGTGTGTGTAGGCAAAACACTCATAAAAAGAAATAAGACAGGTGGATCTCTGTGAGTTCAAGGCCAGCCTGGTCTACATAGTGAGTTCTAGGCCAGGTGGGGCTACAAGGAGACCCTATCTCAAAAAGACAAATGAATACATACATAAAGAAATAAAATTTTTTTAAAAAGAATCTGGTGCTGGGTGTGGTGGCGCACACCTTTAATCCCAGCACTCAAGAGGCAGAGGCAGGCAGATCTCTGTGAGTTCAAGGCCAGCCTGGTCTACATAGTGAGTTCCAGGACAGCTGGGGCTACAGGGAGACCCTGTCTCAAAAAGACCAAAAAAAATAATAATAATCTGGATTGGCAGGATGGCTCAGCGGATTAGGGTACTCGCTGCTAAACCTGATGACCCGAGTTTGATCCCTGGGATTTACATGATGGACGTACTCCCACAAGTTGTTTTCTGACCTCCACATGTGCATCATAGCACTTGTACACACACAGTAAGTAAATAAGTAAATAAATAAATAAACAAATGATAATCTTGGCCTGAGATGGCTCAGTGGGTTAAAGGTGCCACTGATGACCTGAGTTCAATACTTGGAAGAAGAGAACCAACTTCATAGGTTGTTTTCTGACTTCTACATGCACACCTACACACACACACACACACACACACACACACACACACACATACACACACACACAAAATCTGGTAACACACACACACACACACACACACACAATAAATAAATAAATAAATTAGAAAAAAAAATCTTGGACTGGCATAAAGTTCAGTGGTAGACCACTTACTTAGCATGCATAAAGTTTAGATTTTGTGCCCAGTACCCCCTGGAAGGAACGAAATAAAGGGGAAAGTAATATTCTGGTTCCAAATGTGTTGCATTCCTATAATCTCGACACTTGAGAGGCCAAACACAGATCATAAGTTCAAAGCCAGCTTGAACTGCAAGGGTGAAACTGTCTCAAAAAAGATTTTTCAGGGCGTGGTGGTGCATACCTCTAATCCCAGCACTCTGGAGTTCAGGGCCAGCCTTGTCTACACAGTTCCAGATCAGCCAGGACTACATAGTAAAATCCTGTCTCAAAAAGAAAAGCAACAAAATTGTTCTAGGGCTAGGAATATGACTCAGTGAAGAGCATGTGTGAAGTTCAGGCTCTAATACCACTAAAAAAATCTGAAAGATAGAATTCCCTGTTCCTTGGGGGCTTGTGTCCTAAGTCTCACAGATACACAGGTAGTCCATAGACTTGGGAAAAAGGAACAAGGATGTTGATGGGGCAAGCCCAGGCTTAGCCCACTTTCCATAACTTTTCCCACCTTGAGAATAGGGAACCAACCTTATGGAAGGCTGTCCTCCTACCTGGTAACTGGAGAGCAGGAGAGGCCAGACTTCTAGGACACAGAGAACTCCTGGGGAATTCCTGCTCAAGTTGGCAGCTTCCTGCCAGGGAGCCTCAGCACAGTGGCTGAGGAGTCATGCCTTCAAGCAGCCATGCTCAGTTTTCCACTTGCCTTGCTGTCTGGCCTGTCCCCCAAACACTGGGGAATCCTGTTATTGCAAAACTCAGCCCCCAGGGAACTGAGCTGAGGAGTGTCTTCAGTGCATTGCTCAATCCTGCAGCGCTGAGGGTGGATCTCTGCCTCCTAGGTTGTGAACAGATGAGGGCTCTGGACTCTAGCTGGAGAGGTCAGCCTACCCTTTAGTCCCTTCCTAAGGCTGAACTCATGTGAACTGGGAAATTGTTTTCTAGGCCTTCCTCCTTCCCAATTCAGCTTGGTCCTTAGCTTTCTATCTAGCCAGTCCTATCTATCTGTGGGCCTGGCTGCCATTGGCTCTAGGGACTTTTGGCTGATATGCATGCTATACTATGTTCCTTTCTGTTTACCTCACCTCAGAACCAGGGAGAAGGCAGGCACTGCACTCCCAGCCCAGCATAATGGGAGCTAGGAAAGCCCAGGCTGCCTTCGGTCTGTGGTTCCAGTGGGAGTGTGTGATGGACCCAGACGTCACTAGCTGGAGTGTGCACTTGGCTTTGTGACCTTGGAAGCCAAAAGTGAAGGATCAGATGAGTTTTAGGAATCCAGGTCAGTGTTTCCTAACACTTCCCTGTGAACATACTATCTGGGTTTCTCCAAAGGGTTGAACCTTTCACATTGATAGAGTATACCCTGGAGTGTTCAGATTTAGGCTGGCTGGGCCTCCATGTGGCAGGGGTATCCTCGTCTAAACCAGCATGGCAGATTGAGGGTCCATGATCCTAGCCAGCTGTCAAGGACCTCCCTGCTCAAGGAGGAGACTTCTGAGAGTAGGGGGCAGAAGAGTACAGGGCCATATTCATGCTTCTGCATCTGGGCCACCTCCTCTGAACTTGTCTTTTCCCAGTGAGCTCAGTCTAAGGCACACAGAGCCAAGCCCTAGAACTACAGTTAGGTCTGGGGGTATCTGGTGACATTGAAGCTGGTGCAGTGGGAGGGAAGAAGTGATTATCAGGGAGACTGGTATGTACTGACAACTGTCATAGCAGTTGTATGGCAGAGTGCTAAGAGCAGGAAGGAGGCCTTGGCCCACCTCCTAGAATATTCCATTTATCTAAACCTGAGGGTGCTTAGAAGTGACAGGTGGCAGGTGCCTGACAATGTCAACTGCAGGAGCCAAGAGCCACCCTGATCTGTGAGATGGAGGGTTAGGCCTGAGGCTCAAAGACTTAAGTGGATCCATGACAGACGGGTAGAATTACAAGTGACAGCTAAAGATACAGGAGAGACCTAGGCAATGAGGGAAAGGACACAAAGTCACCAGAGGTGGCAGACAAGTTGGGAGCCAGCCCTTCCTTTCAGCCCTCTGGGCCAGGCTAAACAACCATGAGTAGAACAGGACACGCTTTGTGACCTTCCTTTTGTTGGGGGGAGACAGTGCCAGGACCTGATGGAGATGGTGGCAAAAGCTGCCTGTGTGCAATAGTTCCAAGGAATTGGGGAAGAAATCTTTCCCACCTTGGTTTGGCACATGATCCACCCAGAGCCTTCTAGAGCTTCCTTGTCTTCTGTTCTTTCTCTATCCTGGAGGACCTTGGCACAAACCAAGCCACCCTGCATTGAGGCCCTGGCCAATGGGATGGGCATTCCACTGCCACACCTCTCACCTACCCAACTTCCTGGAGAAGGTGACTCCAAAGGTGCCACCCTTGGGCAGTGAACCTGTGGTGTGACTCAAGAGGTGGTATAGTGGCCTCTTGAGGGGGAGAGTGCACAGCTGAGTGCAGCCCACCTCCCCACAGGGAGCTCTCTGGGACTTAACCAAGGCCACTGCTTGGTGTTGGTCAGTGGTGTCCTCCTAGCTGTACCCTTGGAGTCTCCTGAGAGTAAGGAGACCTTTGGGGGGGGTGTGGTGCCTGACAGTGTGTGTCCCTGAAGTGTATGTGGTTGTGCTGCCAAAGAGTATGTTGTTTCCAAGACCTGTCCTGAGTATGAGCTGCTGAATGAGCCTCTTTTCTTTTCCTTCCTTCCCTCCTTCCTTCCTAACTTACTTCCTTTTTTTTTTTTTTTTTTTCGGTCTTTTTGAGACAGGGTCTCCCTGTAGCCCCAGCTGTCCTGGAATTTACTATGTAGACCAGGCTGGCCTTGAACTCACAGGGACTTGCCTGCCTCTGCCTCCCAAGTGCTGGGATTAAAGGCAAGCGCCACAACACCCAGCTCTTCCTTCCTTTTTATTTATTTATTTATTATTTTTATTTTATGTGTATGAGTGTATTGCCTACATGTATGTGAGAGCACCCATGTTGTGCAATGCCACAGAGGTCAGAAGAGGGCATCGGATTCCCCTGGAACTGGTGTTAAGGATGGTTCGTAGCCGCCATGTGGGTGCTGGGAATCAAACCCAGGTCCTCTGCAAGAGTGGTCAATGCTCTTAACTGCTGAGTCATCTTTCCAGCCCCCTTCTTTCCTTTTTAAAATTTTTATTTTGTGTGTACATTTTACCTGCATGTAATGCACTCCTGCCGTGCAAAGCCCTTGGAGGCCAGAAGAGGGCATCATATACCCTGGAACTGGAGTTAAGGACAGTTGTTAGCTGCCACATGCATGCTGGGAACTGAACTTGGAGCCTCTGTATGAGTATTCAGTGCTCTTAACCACTGAGCCATCTCTCCAACCCCTGGGTTCATTTTAATCTTCTCTTCTCTGTAGGTACTTCACATCTAGTCTATCCTTAGCCCCTCTCTTCTGAGCAGAGCAGTGATACTGGCTATTGTATGCTTCCCCTGTGCCTTCACTTGCTACCCCAGCCCTTGAATGGCACATTTGGCATGCGTGACCTGTACTGGTTGAGATCTGGGGTTCATCTCATTCCTGTGACTTTCCCTGTGTGACCAAAGTTGGGAGAAATCAGCTCCAGTGACTGCCCATGAGTTCTCTGTGGTCCTGGCCAGGTCCTGGGCAGCACCTGCTTTGGCAGGGAGCATATTCATCTTGCCCTGGCAAGTCAGTCCCCATGTGACTAGATTCTGGTATGTGTGCCATACCTTGGGCCCAGTCCAATGAACTGGTGGAGAAGAAGGCCCAGCCTTGGCCTCAGGGACATTGGGACTACAAAGGGGCAGGCCTGAAAGTAACCAACTGTGACGCAGGACCAGAGGAGTGGCCAACACAGACGGGGTTCTTTACCTCTGGAGAAAAGCTGGGTGGCTCCTCAGGAGGACTAGGCCCAGAGGGATGGTACCACTGAGACCCAGCTGTCCTCAGGGGCCCACTTGCCTGTACCTTACCTGAGGCTTGTACAACCAGGAGGACAGGGGCAGGAAGGCCCTTGCCCACTGTTGACCTAGTGAATTGGCATTAGAAGTAAGAAGAGGTCATGGCTTACCCCATGGAGGACCAGCTAGAGCAGGTCTGCCCACGTGGGTTAGCTTGACTGACTGCTAGGGACCCGGGATGCCACTTCTCAAGTCTCTCATTTGTCTTCCATCCCCAGGGAATGCTGCCCGAAGAACCTGGATGCCCCTCTAGAGCATGAGCTCGGGCAAGAGTGCCCGCTACAACCGCTTCTCTGGGGGACCTGCCAACCTTCCCTGCCCAGACAGCAGCGGGGTAAGGGGATGTCAAACAAGAGGGTCTTTCCTCTTTGCATATCCTCATCCAAGGCCCCAGCATGCTGCAGTAACTTGCCACTGATGACAGAGCTCCTAGCATCCCTCTTCCTCATATGGCCTGTGCCATATGTCTGTAACTGGTGTGTCCCTACATTTGCATGTATAGGGGCCACCAGTGAGTGAGCATGTCAGTGTTTGTGTGGACCTGTGCATGTCTGCATTAAGTCTTCTTCCTTCTCTATTAGACCAGAATGGAAACGACCTTTGGGCCTACCTTTTCAGCTGCTAATACCATCACCAAAGGTGAGCCTGTGATCAGAAAGAATCTGTACCCCACCGGGACCTAGGGGCACTTCCTGGTGGAGTAGGGACTGGGTGCTTATGTTGGCAAATGAGCATTCGGTCTCTTGGCCTCTGTTCCTTATCATGTCTCTGCCTCCAACTGAGTCAGGTAGTTCTGCTCCTGCACCTCTCCTCTGTTGTTGACCCCCCCCATTCCTGAAACATTGCCCATTACCCTCCAGGAAAGGCTGTCTTGACTTCCCTGGCACTGCCCAGCACACTTAGACTTTTTCACAGTGAATCATGGTTCTTCCCAGCCCTAGGCTCCTGACCTCCAAGAGGGTGTTCGTGGCATGGCAGCTTTTCTGGGTTGGGTCCAGTACTCTAAAGGTACTGTGCTTTACATTAGAAAACATCAGAGAGAAGAGAAAGAGAAGACAGCGTCCTTGCTGAAGTCTGGGGGAGGGGATATTGTGTTCTGCTTTTCTGGTGCTCCCTTCCCTCTCCCCTCACCTACAAACCCCCCATGCACCAGCTGCTAATTGTTTTTTTAATTGCCTTCCCATGGCTGAGGGCATAGGGCCGACAGGTGCACCTGCTCACAGCAGAGCCTTTGTTCCTGGATAACTCTCAGGGACTCTGGAAAGGCCTCTTCTCACAGGCTTGTTTCTGAGGAAAAATAAAATAAATATTATCCCTGCTCCTCCACTCAGGATGCTGTTGTTCAACTCCTCATCTACATTTAGAAATTACATAGTGCCTGTCACCATTGTTGAGGGCAAAAAATGGCATGTAGCTTGCTGAACCCCTGTTTCCTGGGTAACTGAGGGTGGTCAGAGCCAAGCAACAAGGCACAAGTACTTGCCTCATCTGGCCCCTGTCATTACAGATAGAGAAACTGAGGCCCAGTCACAGGGTAGTCAGTCATATTCCTAATTTTGAACAGAGTCTTTTGCGGTTCTTGTCAAGACATCTGGACCTGTTTGGGTGTGGTGGGGGGGGTGCTGGTAGCAGCCCAACCCCAAGGCTTAGGGCCTGCGAGATGGCTTTCTGGCTCCCATGTGGACCCTTGACCTGTCATTCACAGGGAAGCCCTGCCCTCTGGCCCAGGCCAGGCAGGGTATTCTGTGGGCAAGAGGAGGGAGGCTGAGAAGGCTGGGTCCAGTTCCTGATCTGGCTGTACCAGAGAGGAGGCAGGAGGACAAAGGCCACCAGGATACAATTTTGGCTTGGCCATATATTCCCTGAGGTCCTTCAATCTCCCTGTGCCTGTTTCCCCCTCTGAACCAAGGCTATCAGAGAACTCACTGGGTGGGGTTACCTTGAAGATCAAACAGAATATCCTCAGGTGACCCTAGGGTAATCTTAAAGTTGATTTTACAACCAGCTGGGCATGGAGGGCCCCTGGTCAAGCTGAAGGGTAGGACTTTGTAGAGGCTCTGAAAGAAAGATCTTAGCTGGGTGTGGTGGGATTGCACTTGCCTGCAGTTCCAGCACTTAAGACGTAGAGATAGAAAAATCATGAGTTTGAAGTCATCCTGCTACACAGCAAGACCAAGGACTAAGGCTGTAGCTCAGTAGTAATGCTCTTAACTAGCATAAGTGAAGTTTTGAGTTCCCAGCACCAGAGGAGGGGGCGATAAATAAAATTTCCTGTTGGTTGCCAGGGTGGGGCAGCCAGCAGCATCCAGGTTCAGTTATGTGCAGGCACAAGCTGGACCCAAGAACCACACTACTAGTACTTGACCTTGGGAGATAATCCCAGACATTCCTGTCCCATCCCTGCACCCTTTTGGTCTTGGGGAGGCTGAGATAGTCCAAAGGTCTCCATGTCCCCCACAGGCTCTGCCAGCAGACTATCTCGAGTCTACCTACACTCAACATCACTTAGTCCCGCCCCTCTCTTTTCAGCAGCTGATGGAACCAACACATACAAACAGCACCGCAGGACACCTTCTTCCTCTAGCACCCTTGCCTACTCACCACGGGATGAGGAGGACAGCATGGTAGGTCCCTACTCTGCAGGAGCCCACTATGATTCCCAACCTTCTACGGTGCTTCCATCCTGAGGGACCAGTTCCCCAGAGGAGCTGACAGTAGAGCAAAGAGCAGAAAACTGTCCAGGCAGAGAGAACAGCTTGTGTGAACACCCTGAGGTCTGAGCACATGTGGTGAAAGTAAGAGGAGGTCTCCATGGCTAGATGGTAGCAGGAGGCTGCCAGTTTGGGGATTGGGCTTTAAGTTGTGGTACCTGAGGGCCAAGGTCAGACACTTTTGACTCCATCTTAAGTGAGGTGGAGTCACAGAAGGGCCACTCAGGAGAGTCTGCCAGATGAGCAGAGAATACCTGGCAGGACTGGGGTCATTGGGTGGAGGAGCAGGACTTTTTTTTTTTTTTTTTTTTTTTTTTTTTTTTTTTTGAAAAAAAAAAAAAAAAAGAGGACGATAAATCTTTCACTGTGATATATCAAAATAA